TAAAAAAGAAAATGATGTAAGACTCATTAAGATTTTGACCATCATTTAAGATGGACCTAAGTGTTTCTCTCCTATCTTACTATTGAGGGGATGATCTTTTCGCCTACACTATGTTTTTACCACAATCTTAATGTCATTTGATTTTGAACGTTACGTCTGTTCTTCTATGGATTATTCCGAAAAACTTTATTATGTTATCACACTTTTTCTGTAATTAATGCGTTGCGGCTTTTTTGTAATTTTTATTATTTATATTGATAAAGGCTTGATGACAAGTCGAAATGTTTATATTCTACGATAATGTAAATTAAGTAATACACTATTACCATTGCACGATCAACTTGCTGTGTGGCTCTTTACGCTCCTGTTTAATAATTTTGATTTTGAAAATCATAGGAACCTTATATCATTATAATTTTGATGTAAGACTATTATACAAAAAGCAGAATCTTTTTCGAAATCTTAAAGTCAGCCGTTAAGAGTAAGAGTCGCAATCAATAATAATTACGATCGAGTTTTAAGATCCACCTCGGACGAACTGGTCTGATAAAAGTCAAACAATTGATAAAAAATATCGCTATTTCGTTCTATCATAGCGACGCCACGGACCGCTTAGCAACTTGGATAAAGGAAGCAGAAGAAAACGGAGGAGTCGCGTGATACGCGGAGTCAGAGCGAAGAGGCCGCGAAGAAGAGACGATGCTTTACGCACAGCGGAGGTTTATTTCCGCCAGGACTATCCAATCGTGAAGCGCGCCGAGATCTACTCTCGGAACGAGCGAAGAGAGAAGGAAGGAGAATCAAAAGCGCGGCGCTATCGCGACTCCACGCTCGCGGGTCATCGGGCCGGGCGGAACCCGCCGCCGAACGATCGGGACGCCGGTCGGTCGGCGGAAAGAGAGGAAAACGGATAACGGAGGGAGAGAAAAAGGGAAACGGCGAGAAAACGGCAGGCCGAAAGAATCCGCCGGATTTCCGCTCGGCGTTAAAGCCGCCTATCGAGTCGTGTTGCGCAACGTGTCTGCGCGCGAGTGTGTGGTGCGCGTTTTTCTATGTGTTTTCTACATGGGTGTGCACGTATGTGTAGAACGTACACCCGATAACGCACGATAGAAGGCGCGCGCGCGCGCGCGCGCGAGAAGGGAAGCCGGATAGATGAATAGATAGGTTCTCTCCGTGCGCGTTCCGCAGCTCTCCAGGCTCGTCTCGCGCGGTACACGCGATGGGAAAATAAATTCTAAGGGAAGAGCAACACAGGCGTTACATAACGACACCCGATAATCATTAGTAGCGCCGCTATTAATATCGCGCTATTGAGGCGATCGTGTTTACGCGAAACGCGCCGCACCTGTGCATCGGCAAAGGCAGCGAGAGAAATCGTGTGCGACGGTCCGTTTCGAGCAGGCCAACGACTTCTGCGACTTTGATCTAGATAGGTGATACATTTTCTACAAATAAAGCGTCGGTCGGAGCAACACTGTTGATTCGCAAATTTCTTTCAACATTTTTTTTTCTGAGATTCTCTTCACTTTTGACACAGTGAAGCTGTAAGTGCGAAAAGATTCCTTCACAAATGCATTTGGCACGATCATATTTTTTTTTAATAAAAATCTTTCCGTAATTTTCTAAAAAATATAATTCAGCTTTGAGTTTGCAATACTGCTTCGATTGCGAATCGGAAGAAAGAAAAATAACGTTAACGACAAGGGATTCGTGAGGGAACACAAAGTGCGACCGAGCGTCATCGAGAAATTGGCATGTAGATCTTTGTGCAAGCTCGCGCGCCGCACAACCGCCTGTTCGCCAAATGTATCGTGAGCTAAGAAATCCGTTTAATGCTTGCGAGCTCACGTCGTCGGGCCGTTCTTCCGTTCGTAAGCCGCTTCCTTTTGCGGCGTTCCTCTCTCTCTCTCTCTCTCTCTCTCTTTCTTTCTCTCCTCTCCTCTCCTATCTCTCTCTCTCTTTCTCTCTCTCTGCCAACGACGACGACGCATATCCGGTCGACCGACCATTTGACAAAAGAACTTGGGCGCAAACTGACCTGCGCTAACTGAAGTTTCGTGAGACTCGACGACCACCCGAGATAATCGTCAAATCATCATACGCGTCTCTGCGATTGAATCGTTCGAACGGAAGTAACTTTCACAGTGAAAACCGAAGTTTTCCCGGCCGCTTTGTTTGCGAAGGTGCTCTTTTTGCCGCTTTAGCCGAACGTGCGAACAGCTAAAAGAACTTTGTATTTGAATTGGAAACAGTCGATTCTATTTTTCAAACCTCGGGTGAGAAAAGATTTGGCCAAAAAAATTATTCTAAAGATGTAAGTCTTGCCTAAAGTCCATATGTAATAAAAAAAAAACTAAAGGGTGAGGGAAAAGGAAGGTGGAGGATTTGAATTTCTTTGATTCACCGCTATCGTGTATAATAATTAAATTACACATTTGTACGACACATTTCCTTGAAAGTCGTGCATCTCGAATAAAGTTGAACATTTCATAATTCTACTTAATTCACGTTAAATAATACCGGAAATCTCTCGTGGAAAAATAATTGGCTACTCGGCGCGTCGAACGTTGTGCAAAATCGTGAATTCATTGCGAATTCATCCCGGGCGAGCGTTGGGCGCAGAAAAAACGACCGCCAGAAAATATTGAGAAATATCGTTAAGAGCCGCCTGGCGACGCAGGAGTTTTAAACCGAGAGCCTCTCCGCTCGTTGTGTCCCGCGGAGAATATCGCGTGGGCCCGAATACGTGGTCGGAGCTGCTTTCTATGTGCAAGGGCCTGGAATGCATGTCGCCTCCCTTTGCGCGAACGATCGCGCGCTATCTAACGCTCGCGATGCAAGCGCGACTCCCACGAATTCGGAGTTACGTGCCGTGGGCATCATTGCCGCGAGACGTCACACCAAGCGGTTTCCCATTTTCCCATGGCGAAAAGAAATTGCCATACCCATATAAAACGATAAATGAATAATAAAAAAGAAGTATTAGCGCATTTTAAACGCGGAGATTCAAATTATATTCAATAACCTTAGTGAATCTTTTTTCCAATGACTGGTCTCATATTTTCTCGAGCCATTTGACAGCAGAATCATCAATTTTCGTCACAAATGCAGTTCAATTTTATTTTTTATATCGAAAAGGATGCTCCGAATAGCTCTACGAAGAGTACTTTTTATTTTTTTCAGAGAAACTGAACTTTTCCTGTGTATATTAAAGACGTTTTCCTTTAAACGTGAAATTCTGGAAAATCTTTAATCTAAACTATAGATGTCCGTTTATTAACAAACCGATCCAAGTAAGACGCACACTGAGGAAAATGTTCCGTTTGATTCAACAAACCGTTCGATTTTCGACGAAACAGACAGATGCTGGTTGAATATACCAGAATTCCTGTTAATGCAACAAGATTCGGCTAGATTCAGCCAGAATCTATCTGTTTCGTCGCAAATCGAACAGACGGTTTGTTGAATCAAACAAATCTATTATGTTCCGTTTGATTATTTTATGTGGATTCATAATTATGTGGCGCCCCACATAGAGGGCAGTATGTTCGCCTGCATTGTCGATCGCTTTTTTGTAGATCAAACTTACTTAACCGCGAGGCTAACCTATATTAGTTGTACACGCCGAAATAGATTGATGTTTGCATCAATCCCCGTTTGTTTCCTTTCAAAAAAACCCAACAAAAACCGCTGATTTCTCGGAGAACGACCAACGATTGTCCAAAGTGATCCGGCGGTAAAAAAAGTAAGAAACGATTGCGCGAGTGTCGAGCCTTGGAGCGGAGTCACGCGGTGACAGAGGCGAGTCGGGCTGCGCGTTAAATCATTGATCGCGTGCGTGGGTGCGCCACCGCGACGCCGGGTGGGAGAATACATTTCGGATTTTTGTCCGTCGGGAATTTGCGTGCCGCTAATGGCATCGCGAACGCCTACGGGGTTCGGCGCGGCTAGGCAACCTGCAACGTTTCGCGCGCGCGCTACCGCGTAAGGCGAGGCCGGAGAGGCCGGCTACCCACCCGGTTCTTCCTACGGGAAAGAGCGGGACGGAGAGACGAGTGCGAGAAAGAGAGGAGAGGAAACGGGCTCTCTTCGGTCGGTCGGTCGGTCGGATCCACCTACGGCGAGACGAGAAGGAGCGAGATCGAGAATGCCGGCCGGCCCGGAGCGGTTTATACGTCCGCCCGTTCGATCGACGCGATCGATCGGCCAACTGAATCGCCGTATTTCCGCCGAACGAGTTCACCTACGCGCGCGCCGATAGTTCTCGGTTGCCGCTCTCTGCTCCGCTCGGGACTGGTCCAATCGCGGACTTTTCCCGGACCCGTGGTGCGTGCAGGTCTCGCATACGTCTGCCTCCGTTTCTCTTTCTTTCTCTCCCACTTCTCTCCATTCATCCCTCTCGCGTTCTGGACGCGCGGATTCAATTTTCGCCGCGGGCCTTCGGCGTAAATTTCATTAATCTCTCCGGCCACCGCGATTATACGACCGACGTGGTTATTTTTAGTTACACGCCGCTGACAAGTCGCGCCGGTTTTGCACGCAAACACCGTTTTGCCGACGTTTGTATTCTATTCTCATAGAAGATGAGAGAAACAAACGCTCTACAAACGCTCCTAACGATATTTTATTCTCGGAAAGAAATAAAATCTATGGTAATTTCTTCGCATACATTTTTCGAAAAAAATTCGGTAATCTTCAAAAGTCTAAAAAGATGTTCGATCAATTAATCTGCTAATAATATTAGATTTGTTGAGAAAAAACTAGTTTAAAGCACGAAAAATAAGAAACGTGCGAGTACAATTAATAAATATTTCGCAAAAAGTAAAAAGAAAATCTTCGTCGAACAACAATGGTGACGTTATTAGCGCTCCTGCGACGCGTTTATCCGGCTCATCCGACGATACTCATAGTTTAATAATGCGAACGACACGAAGAGGTTGCGATTCGCGATTGAGTTAAAGAGACAGAGAGGAGAAGAATTTGTAAAGTCAACTCACGTCCTTGCTCGGGACGCAGAGCGGCGTTCCTTCCTTGACAATTCCAGCCTCGACCATCACGCCGATCACGATTGGGTCCCTCGAGTTGAATACGTACTGAAATGCAAACAGGTCTGCGTTTGAGAAAAGAAAAAAAAAAAAAAGAAAAAGAAATCCGGAGTGCAAATCGCCGCGCCGACATCGCGCCGCGGCGTAAATTCCGCTTGTTTATCGCGCCCTTTCACCCCCGCGAGATGAACGCCATCCGCGTATTCGCGTTGCTTACCTGCGGCAGGATCTTCAGCTTGCACGGGAACACGGCGATGTGCTTGTTCTCGTCCCGCTTGCGCTGCTTCAGTTCGTCCCTGTAGGCGGTGAATTTGTCGAACAGGTGGTAAATAATGTCCGCTTGGAAAATCTTGACGCCCAGCGAGTCCGCGAGCTCCTGCGCGTCTCTCTCAATCTTCACATCGAACGCGAGAATCGTGGCGTATCTGACGACAAATTAATCGTACAATTCAAAATTGGACACCCGGAGCTGTTCCTTCCGAAAACCGGGAATATCGGAGATAGCGTGAGAAACTTTTCATCGAAACATCCAAAAATTATTAGAGAACTTTATTAGATCTTGATTTGCAATATTTTGTATTAAAATTCTCCCTATAAAAAGAAAAATAATTTATTATAGAAAACCGAGAAAAATTTGACGGGGCGCAAACTGTACTGCCGCTCAAATGGTAATGAAAATATACTTACTGGCTATCGTGCTCCAACATGATGGAAGCTTTCATGACGTCTTTTTTGACGACCGGCCCGATACGAATTCCGGAGTACTACGGAACAAAAACGAAAATCTCATTGGCGGACGAGACGATCGTTAAGCGCAAGAAAGATATCAAAGCAGCATCGCGAGCGAACGCGCGGTTCATCATTACGCAAGTCGCTCCGATTTCGCTCGACAACGTGCAATGACTGTCATCTTGGCAACATTATTACACAGTTTCTTGCGTTACGTTATTTCGCACATTATTACGTAAAAGAGGGGGAGGGGGAGGAGGCGAGTAACAACCGCTGTTAATAATCTAACGACGCTTGCGCTCGTCGTCTCTTTAACCCATATCACTTGCTGCAATAACTTTTCGTCGGCTCTGATAATTCGTCATGCGTGACTACGCGGATGCGCAAGAAAGGTCTTGCAATCTATTTGCTCGGACGAAGAGCAACTGTTTCGAGGACAAACCGTGCAGCCGCGAGTAGTTATTTGCCGTCAAACAAACAGCATTTCAAATCGTAAAATTATCTTTAACGTGAAATCGTTAAAAATAAAAATTAATTATTTCGCCGCAATAAAGAAAGAGAAAGATAGATGTTATTTGAACGTACGTAGAAATTAATAATTAATATTCCGCAAAAGTATAAAATTATTATAATAAGTAAATCAATTCCACGTAATAATTCCGATGGCGCGTCGAGATCTCTACTCGGTTTTAAATAAATCGATGTATCCGTACGTTGCTGATAAGCGTTCGCGAGAGAGTGCGAACAATGCGTTTCGCAATCCGCTTAAACTAGTTACGGGGACGGAGTCTCGGGAATCATTTGCCGCCGAAACACCACGGATCCCGAGGGTCTCCGTGTGTACGCGGCCGCGTGTGTAGGACTAGGCAAAAATAACCAGTGACGCATACATGCGCCGCCCAGTTCGGCCGGACGATGCAACGAGACGGGAGGACACGAGACGGGGCGACACAACACGTTGAAATAAACGCGACGATGCGCTCACAAACAAGCCGCGTTTCGCTGCCTTACCGAGAAAAGCTGCTTCATAGTCGAGAAACATTGTCGATCTGCCGTAGTCGGAATTAAAGCCGACCGGCGCGACCGGCAGAACGAGCGTATCGTCGTAACATTGTGGAATATACCAGGTGTCCTGAATATCTGTATCTTGAAAAAGATATCTTCGGAAATAAATCCGTTGAAAGACGAAGAATCTTGCAAAATAGAATCGCTAAACGCGGCAAAGTTATGCCAATTGCAATTAATTATTGCATAAAGAAAATACACATTTTTTTAGTTCCTTCTTTGATTCTAACCTCAAATAATTACTACTGCTATTTTTATTGCTGTAAAGATAGCAGAATTAATCCAGAGTTATATATATATAATGTACTTTTAATCTTAGTAATGAAATTAATATATATATTATGGATATTACATTTTCAATAGCAAACTTAATTTTACAGCCTGAATTGTAACGTTTTTCACGTTAGAAATAAGCTGTCGTCTAATCTTGAGTAAACACTCTTGCCGAACAGATATAAAGAGGCGATTAATTAAGAGCACGTACAAGCTTATTTCCGATAACTGCCGGATTATACTGCAACACATATTACGCTCCGGCTCGATCGCCAACCATAAGACGAGTGATCCTTGCTATGATTACACTCGCGCGTCCGTTTTCCGGTTGCGAAACGGATATCAGTTATCCGTCGATGCGCGGTCAATGTCTACAGCACACGATACTCGATATACGGGGATTAATTGCCGCGTTAAGAATCGCAATCGAGTTAAACACACCATAAGTATAGTATAACTTTCAGATTTTATCTCGCACCGCCCCTCCTGCTCTTTATCGTTCGTTAGTCTCCGACGCTTGTACGTAAACAAGATCATTATAAACTCTTTGTGCATTAAAATACGCCAAACGCTTACACGCTGTAACAAACGTATTGAGATATTAACAATCTCGAAAAATTAAACATATTAAAACCCGTAAATTGTCATACGAGCTTTGCGGAATATTTTTCTCTCCGAAAAAGAGTGTAAATTCTCATCTTCTTCGCGCCTTCATAAATAACAAAACTATGATAAAGCTGATTAATATTTTAAAACGCCTAAGGACTTTATAATGATCCCGCACTTGAAACGCGCGTCCATCTCTCTCTCCCCTCCCCCCCCCTCCTCCCTTCCACACGCACACACACACCTCTCGCGCGCGCCCTCGAACCGCATCCTCCGCGATTGTAACGATAATTACTCTCGCAGGTATACAGACCGTGCAAATGGTAACTCCTATTTACGGGCCAATTCTCGAGCCGGTATAACCAGGCGGCTGATAGGGCGGGCGATCGAGGGGGAATGGAGTAGAGACAAACGAACGAATGGACGTGCGGACGAGTGGAAGATGATACGTTCCCGAGAACTTTCCGAGATAAGCGTGTTTAGAACTTCCGGTGCGCGTCGCATTCCATTCCTCCGTCGGATACGCCGTCAATTCGTCGGCTCTACTTATCGCGCATTGCGAAAAATACGGATGCCGTGCTAAACATTGAAGTTAAAAAATAAAGCGACGAAGAATCTGTACGCCAACGACGATATCTAAATATCGGACGTGCGCGAATGATATAGTTGTTAAATCGACAGCTAAATCGTACCGCAGTGTTACTGCACAGTAATATCTGAACTTCTCTGAAATTAATTACTTTTTTTTTACAATCGCCGCTGCGAAGAAAGTGTTTGTTCAAGAAATCGATGGGCAAGATTTCGATGGGAGACAACTTCTCGAGACAGTTCCTCTGTGTATGCGATTAAAATTCGTAGCGAGTCGTAAGTTAACGATACTACGCTCCGGAGAGACGGATGTCCTCAGACAAGAGAGAGAGAGAGAGAAAGAGAGAGGAGAGGAGAGAGAGAGAGGAGAGAGAGGAGAGAGAGAGGAGGGGAGGGGAG